CCACCATATATCCAAACCTGTATATTAATAACACATAATGGTAAATTCAGTTTGTGAAATATGTCGTCAACTAGGATATGTTGTATAAATGCATACTTCGTACAGATGTACGCTTTTTGAAGGTTACATGCACAGTCGAACACGTGATAATAAAATAAATGCGATATTTACTATACGGGGCCGCCATCTTGAATGCGGCATAAAACTAAATAAAAGACAAGTTGTGAAACGCGTTTTTCAAATTTCTACAAATCAGGAAAAGAATCCTAATCTTTCACAGAAATACGATCCGTTGGGGTAACATTAAGCCAACCGATAAAAAAATTCGGCTGAATTCGTCGTTTTTGTGTGGAAAAATCCCCTAAATACGAACACCTATCTATTTACACGAAGAATATAAAAAACTATCCTGGGCTATTTAAAACCAAAAATTGTCATTTCAGCTCAGCAGCCAATCAGCGACGACCGACAGTTAATTGACGGTTTTACAGTTAGATGCTTTGGTCAGCACATACTAGTACATGTAATGAGTAAAAGTCTGTCATTACGAATCACTAGCGAGCAGGGTTTTTTGAAAATTCAAAAAAGGCACACCAAAGACAAAAATATATTAATTGGAATAACCTGACGATTGCTACAAAAGTTAAGATTACTGAAGTTTCATCAGTGCATGTAAAATGACACATTCATAAACCAACAACCTGTGCAATCCGATATAGAGGTTCACTTAGTTCCCCCCCCCAGTCTCCTCTAAATTACAGGCACATATACGATCATATAAATGTGATGCGTCTTGCCACTATAAGCAGACGTGATTTTTGTCAGGCCATGATTGTTTGTCCTCAAACCAACTCGATAATAATCAATAAAACAGTGCAGTGTCGTATTGTGACACTGTCCCTGTTGTTGATAAAACTCGATTTGACTATTTAGTTTCTATGACAACCAATTCATTACAAGGGTGGTATGGGCATTGTACATATTGCGTTAAGAGTACCACCTATACACTATTCACTGTTATGTTTACTTCCATAAAACGTGCTGCTTTAAAGAATAACACCTACCATGACGGCCGCTTTATGAGGTTTTGGTGATGGAGTCCACACATTCAAGTACAAGCAGTCTTCACTAACTTGTGTATTGGGGTTCCACATTTCAGCGCCTGGAAAATCAGGATACAACATGTCTAGTTTCTGCATGCAAGAATTTCCAAAATTAGTAGCATCATAAACACCGCTCCACTTTGATATTGGTACAGGCTCACGAAAACGAAGATTTTCAACTGGAGGCTCGGCAAAAGGTATTCCTAGGAAAGCAAACGCTTCGCCTCGGTTATCAGGCAAACTCACAATCTTGCCACGAACTACACCACTTTTAATCCTGAGCTCGAGAGGGTCTGCAATAAAAATAACATACATTGTAAGTATGTGGTTGTATCGATAGAAGCTGCTAAAATTAAATTTTGTGCCAACTATGACAAAAGTGTAAATTCCTCTGAGAACAAATTAAAGCAAACATCTTTCGTATATTCTATATGAGAACAACTATTTCCTATGACCTAAAAATGAAAGACACCCCAAACTGACTTTAGACAAATTACAATGTTATTTACAGACCTCATACCAGCAGAGCGTGTCTGCATGTAAGGTAAAAAAAATGTAAATCAGAATGATGAATTTATTGTACCTTGCCGAGCTAGTGAACCTTGGGAAAGAATGCAGCAACCAGCCAACAACATAAGGACATCTAGTCTCTGTAAGAAAGATTAAAACAAAGACAAAAGATCGTGGTGACTTATTAGCAAATTGATATCACATTGCTTCTTCTCAATATATATATATATATATATATATATATATATATATATATATATATATATATATATATATATATATATATATAAATCATATTCTTGTTCAGTATGAAACCCTAGTATAGTGTGTTCATTGCATTGATATCACTGCATAGATATTTGTAATCGAATTGTCAAGGTCAACATAACCTTCTCCTCGTTCATTGCGAAATGTTTGTTTTAGTCCATGTTACATTGTGTTTAATGTGAGGTATATAATTTTGTGGATGGAAAAAAAACATCATTATTGGCAGTAACCCGAGGATCAACTGGTTACACTGTTGAGATGTAAAGAATTAACTATGAAATGCAAACATTGATATGTC